TTTTTGTAAAATCATTTTCAATGAATAACAATGCTAATTATTTTAAATGGGCCTTTTAATTTTTTAATGGATTAATTTATTTTAAGTTAATTCGGGCCTTAATTTTTTTTGGACTTAAAATATACTTAATATATTAGACTAAACTATAATAAGAGAGACCTTTTTTTTTTTTTATCTATTTTCAATGGATAACAATGCTAATTTTTTTGAATGACCTTTCAATTTTTTAATGGGTCAATTTATTTTAAGTTAGTTTGGATCTTTTTTTTTTATTTTTTTAAACTTAAAACATACCTAATATATTACACTAAATTATAATAGGAGAGGACCTTTTCTTTGAACCAATTTTAAAGAACCTTGTGACCTATGCCCCAGAGCCGGCCCTAATTTCATGATTCTTAACTTTCCTCTTATTCATGTGTATATCATTAGTTTATTCGTGTTGTCCAAGAAATAATTATGGGATTAAATGACGGTTGGGACTCCCTCTTCTAACAGTCTTTTTCTTCAAATATTGATGAATTAAGACTAGGCGTTAACGTGTGCTATATAGCCAAGTCACCGACATAGGTATAGACCTTGGACATTAACATGTCTGGGCGGGTTTTTTTAATATTTAATGTCGGTCCTATTTGGTCAACTGTATGTTGGATTGATTAATTCTTAAGTTATTTTTAGGTAGGGGTGAGCAGCGGTTCTTTCTATCCGTTCAAATCGGCCAAATCAAATTGATCTGTCGTATTTTAGATTGATGTGTGATGATGAGTAGGTGGTTGCGAATTGATTTTTTTTTTCAATTCGTCTAATTTTGGACGGATAACGGATTTGAAGTTTCTTTGGCTACAACCAAACTGTCAAACTGCGAGCACCCTTAGTAATTTGTAAGACTTTGTGTTTTCAATTTGTTTAGATATTCTATTTGTATTTTCAATTGAAAAATAGTTTAAATATTCTGTTCTGTTTTCAATTTGTTTTTAATTTGAAATTCTTTTATCAAATGGTAAGTGTTGATATTTGGTATTTTTATATGGAAAATATAAGGCTTAATTTTGTCATTTTTTTAAAAATCAAATTAATTAGTTTTCAATAAAAAAAAGTAATGAAGTAGTTTTGATAATGCATGATTTTATTATGTATTTATTATTGGTATTTGATAATTTACTTAATAATGTTGAGTTGGATTGTTATAAAAAAAAAAAAAAATGTTGACAAGTTGTATTATGTTTAAAATTTATAAAAGTTTAAACCGGCAAACCGATTTGCATCCATTAGTCAATCCGCTCAATCCGTATTCGTTAATCTGGCGGACAGATGCAGATTGATTTTTTCCAATCCGCCAATGCAGCGGACGGATGACGAATTAGAGGTTTTTCGGCCGCAATCAAACCGTGAGCACCCCTACTTTTAAGTAGTGTTTGAATCAATTTTTAAGTTAAATCTATACTCAAATTTATGATTTAAATAAAGTTTTAAGATGGATTAATGAGATATAGGAAAGTGAAGGAAAACATGTTCCTTCTTCTCTCTCAGTCTAAATTTAAATTAGAGGATGTCGACTGGACGTGTTGGGTTCATTTTTTTTTTTAAATAATTCAAATTGTTTATTTTATAAGATCTTTTGCGTATTCATGAACAAAATTAGGTTAATTTGATAAATGCAATTTATTTATTTATTGTCTTGAAGAAAATAGATGGTCTATTTTGGCGAAAAAAATGTCGTATTCGTTAAGTCAATTAACAATTTTTAATGATGTTAGAAATATATTTCAATAAACAATTCTTGTAATTTTATTATTGTATATAGGAGAGTAGTTAGAAATATTATATTTTTTTCTATAATTCCGTTAGAATCTCTCTTGGAAGAGATTAGCAACTTTACTAACTTGTTCCATTAGCCCAGTTTGCTCCTCGCGGAGTATAGCTCACATCTAAACATCTGATTAGGGAACGGGGCAATACCCATGAAGCTACGATGGAAAGGAAAGCAAGGGCAGGTCTCACCCTAAGGTGAACAAAGCCAATAGCTTTTGATTGGGATGGAAAGCGACTTGGGAAGAAAAGAAGAAAGTACTTAAAAACCAAATAAACAAGCTAAACAAGTAGCCATTTTATTAGCAAAGAATATATAATCAGGCTATTTCTATAACTAATATTTGACCAAGTCTCCCATCTTGAGTATCCCATCCGACCCAACTCTGATATCCAAAACCTACCTATTAAGACGCTTGGATATGATTAGATACGTGTTCGACAACATATAGAAGGATAAAAATCAATCCGAACTTATGGATTCCTCAATCCCTTGACTCTTTTGTCTTAAAAAAACTCCGGACTAGATAGCACAATCTTGCTCAGTCTTCTGTTTTGTGTCCTTATACTATTAAGAACCTTTAGTGATAGAGTTGGATAAAAAAAAAAAATCATTTTATTATTGTATATCAAAGTAGTTAAGAATTTTATTTTTTCAGTTAATTTTGTTAAATAAAAAATTTTGACAAAGAAATATATGTAATTTTTCAAACTATAGGAGACAATTTTTATTTAAAACAAATCTCAAGAGATGTATTTTTTAATTAATCCTAAAATTTATAAAAGACTAGATGTATAAATTACAAATTATAACATTTTAAGGTTTTAATCGCCCTATCTAAAAAAAAAGAAAGTTTTAATTGCAAAAAAAAACAAAATGAAATATAATGCAAACTGTGGGTTGTTTTGGCAACACACTAAAAAAGTCAAAAGCCAACTTTTAACTCATTTTTGATCACATCACCTCTCACATGAAACAGTAAAAAAAGTCAAAAAAAATTAAAAAGTCCGTTTTTAACCATCTTCTCAAAACCACCCACAACATGTGTTCCACCACACGCCAATCAACACATTTGATGTGCGCACCTTGAGCACAATACATGAAAGTGGTTTTCATGTATGGTACATAAAAAGATATGGACCATTAGATTTAGATAGGATGAACGCTAACCATTGGATGAGTAAATAGTAAAACCAGGTAGAAAAAGTAAGGTGATTTTCTAAAAAGTAGAGTAGTTTTAGTTAATTTTGAAATTAAAAAAGTGATGCTAACTTACCATTTACTACAAACATACTCACTATTTACTATTTGCTCACTTACTATTTGTTATGAATAAGCTTACTATTTAAAATATCACCTACTAAACAGGTCACTTTCATTTTTTTGAAAATTGTTCCCTTTTTTGCATTTTAAATTAATTTTAAATACGTAGAACTATTGATATTTAACTATTTTCCCTCCATATTTTGTATTGTTATGATTTGAAAAAAGTAAAAATGGTATTTAAATGTTAATTTATTAAAATTTCTTAAAATTTACTAATTATTTTAAAATAGTCATTATTGTGAAAAATTAATTTTAGATATAATATTAAAAATAAATAAAAAATAAAAAAATTATAAACAAAATATTTTTGAATTGTAAGTTATTTAAAATTATTTTTAAAAACATTAATTTAAAATAGTTAGTTTTATTTTATTTTTATTTTTTTTTACCTACAACTCCTCAAAAAATCTTTTAGAAACTTTTATAAATGCATATTTTTTTTAATCAATTTAATATCCATAATGAAATATTTTTTTCTTCGTAATATTTTTTAATATCTAAAATATTGTAAAGCATAAATTGAAAATAAAATAGCTTAGAAAGAACTCTCATTTGTTAATATATTTTAATGGTTATAAATGAATACACGTGCAGTAATTTCTTTCTTTTACCAACTACACTTGAAAACATTAATTGCTATATAAGAATATAGTTAATTAGAAAAATATAGAAGAACTCTCAATTCATTCGCATACATAATGAACGAGATTGTTTTTTTTTTCATATTTTTTCACAAAGAATAAGTGAAAGAGAGTGATTTAGATTTTACAAATTGAAGACAATTTCCAATTAATAATTTATCTATGTCTCTCTCTCTCTTTTATTTTAACATTATGTGATATTTTAAATTTATAAATTTTAATTTTTTTGTTGGAAAATCATTTCATTGAGTTAAAGAAAAAGTGGAGTTTCAAAATTTTAAGTCAAGTTTAATGAAATAAGTATAATTTCATTGATTAGTAACTTAAGTCTATTGAAGTGGTGTCTTATTGATTGACAAGTCATGTTTAATTAAGTGAATAGTAGAGTTTGATTAAGTAGTAACTAAATGTAATGAAGTCACAAGTGTTCACTATACTCCACTTACTACTCAATGAACTTCCACTTACTATTTCACTAGAGTATACTTACTACTCAATAAGTTTCCACTTACTAGTTCACAAACTCTACTTACTGCTCAATAAGTTTCCACTTACTATTTCACTAGACTCACTTACTACTCAATAAGTTTTCACTTACTATTTCATTACCCTTCACTTACTACTCAATTTTGATTTCACTTACATTAGACTCCACTTACTATTCAATGAGTTTTCACTAATAATTTCATTACACTTCACTTATTGCTCCATTTTGATTTCACTTACTACTCAATGAGCTTTCATTTGCTACTTCAGTAGACTTTACCTATGAGTTTCCAATTATTATTTCATTACACTTCACTTACTACTCAATTTTGGTTTCACTTACTACTCAATGAATTTTCACTTACTACTTCAGTAGACTCTATTTACTACTCAATGACATTCCATTTACTATTTCACTAGACCCCACTAACTACCTAATGAGTTTCCACTTATTACTTCATTACAATTCACTTACTACTCAATGAGCTTCCATTTACTAGTTCAGTAGACTGCACTTACTACTTAATGAGTTTTCACTTACTACTTAAGTAGTAAGTGAAATTTTAATTGAGTAGTAAGTAAAATCTAATGAAGTAGTAAGTAGAAGCTCATTAAGTAATAAGTACAATTTAATTGAGTAGTAGGTGAAGTCTAATGATAAGTGGAGTCTCATTAACTAATTGTAATATCATTTACCATTTGGTTTGATCTAATTAATTTTATTATACTTAGCACAGATGGAAGACAATATTGGGATGATGATGATGAGGATGATATTGACACTGGTGAGTACAACATTGGCAATCAAAAGAATATCGTTAGTTCCGATGATCTCTCTTAAGCGTATGGATCAATTAACTAAAAAAGATGTGTTTGAAATAACATTTGATTTGGTAGAAAATTGAGAAAATTTATATAATATGTATGCAAAAGTGAAAGGTTTTAGTATTCAAAAAGATCTATTGTATAAGGACAAGAGTAATAAGGTTATATCGAGGAGATTGGTTTGCTCAAAAGAAGGACATTAACAATACATACAATTTATTGAGATAATGATTACCATTCACTAACACAATAGTAACTATTCATTATGATTTTACTCACCATATTCATAACAACATAATGGTTTTCTATGAACACATAATTGTTATGATGGCATTGTCACGACCAAAATTGACTATTAAATGAAGTGTAACGAAATAGTAAGTAGAAATTCATTGAGTAGTAAGTGGAGTTTAGTGAAGTAGTAAGTGGAAGCTTATTGAGTAATAAGTGAAGTATAGTGAAGTAGCAAGTGGAAGCTCATTGAGTAGTAAATGAAATCAAAATTGAGTAGTTAGTGAAGTGTAATGAAATAGTAAGTGGAAACTCATTAAGTAGTAAGTGGGGTTTGATTAAATAGTAAGTGGAGTATGATTGAGTAGTAAGTAAAGTTTGTAATAAGCCAATTTGTAGCGAGGTTACACATTTTGTAATTGATGTTACGAAATTTTATGGTAAAATTACACATTTTGTGATAGGGTGCATTTTTACTAAACCAAATATTTTCTAATTTTACTTACCATTCATTGTAACACTACTTATCACTTAATATTTTATCATTTTTACTTTTTTGTATAACCATTCATTCTAAATCTACTTATAATTTAGTTTTAACCTACTTATCACTCATTCTCCTTATAAGTCATTTTCATCTTAATTATCATTCAATAATAAGTGAAATATGATTGAATAGTAAGTAGAGTTACATTGAATACTTCTCATTTATAAATACAATACTTGCCATTTATTTTGATTCTACTTACTATTTATTATATTTCTACTTATAATTCATTAGGGTTTATTATAATATCTTATATTAATCCAATCTAAAAAAAGTAATCAATTAATTGCCACTGTTCTTTTTCTCCCAAAACGTAGGATTATTACATAAATTAACTTATCCTTATTTAGAAAAAAAAGTAGAAGCATTATAATTACCACGTGTAGTTACCGTAGTTTTCAATTAATTCTGTTTGATTTTTTATAGGCTAGAACTGATTATAAAGGTTTTGAATGGATGGCCCAGATTGAAAGAGTACATCTAATGGCTAGTAATTAATTTCATGAATGGTACCTCAAAACCAAATTTGCGAACTGTAGCTGTTCCCCAAGAGTTCGGATCCCCTCCTTGAGAATCCTACTTTATCTCCTCCTTGCAACGGCTGAGATTAGCCGTTGCACATCCAACGACCATTAAAAAAAAAAAAATGAAATTGAAATTTTAGTTTCCCGCCCAAAACAAAAAAGAGCTTATACATAGGTTATACATATTTGATGTGCACTCTTTCTCACATAGCCTCACACTTACCTCTTCTTCTCCGTCGAACCCACTCTCACCAGCGACCTAATACCAGCGGCAACCCACTCTCGACATCGTTGTAGATCTGACAACGGTGACCCACTGTTGACCCGAAACAGATTCTGTCTGCTTGGCAAACCAGAGCCGTCACATTCTTTTCCTCCACCTCACCGAAGTCGTCGCACCGACAGATCCTCTCTACAGCGACCCACTCCCCAAACCGAACCCTTTGCTTTGCCCTCATTCTATCTACCTTCACTTCGCAAACCAAAGGTTAGTCTTTTTCATTCTATCTACCCTCTCTTCATTATTTGAGCTTGATGTCAGTAGATGGAACTACATTTTTTGTGTTTGGAATTTTTTCAAACTGAAATTAGTCTATAAGTTTTTCTCTCTGGAATATTTTTTTGTGTCTAGAATTATTTTTTGTGTCTGGAATTGAAAAAAAAATAGAAGCAATTTATAAAGTGTAATTAACAAATTGCAATTTATAAACCGAAATTTGTGGTCTTGCATAACTAAATTTAATGATGGCTTCATGGGTTTTTAACAAACTATAAATCAAGAAAAAGTTATTTATAAAACAAATAGAGCATCAAAATAGAAATGAAATACTACCAGCATACTAAGGACATAGAAGCGTGAAAAACACAGTAAATCATTGCCAAATGAAAACAGAATATAGAAAATGAAAACACAATCAAACAGGCCTTAAACCTTTTGTTTTTTTTGTATGTGATATTCAATTTAACATTGGAATAGACAAATAAATACAAATTTCTAACAACTCAAAAAGCAAGCTTACCATAAATTGAATTGGTAGATGTTGCTACAACCAAAATTTGAATGAAAATCACAAAAAGGCAAACCTTACTAAATTTGGGTAACTGGGTTCTTTTTCTTCAAAACAAGTTTTATACAATACCCACAAACCACCATTGACTAAAACAAAAGTGTGAAGGCTTAAGAATTCAACAAAAGAACACATGGTATCTATGTAAAGCTATATAAAACAAACAAGTAGATAAAACAGAGTGTTGGTCATATCCATATTTAATGCTAAGCACACCTTATGATGAGTCCTCCCATTATATATACATACAAATATTTGAATTCAAATGTGACAAATATTGTAATTTATGTAGCTAAGATTTTATTTATATGGGTTTTCAGTTGCATTTTGATATGGATATGGAACTTGAGAATGATTGTGCTTGGAAGCCAAAACAGGGAATGACATTTGATTCTGAACAATGTGCGTATGATTTTTATAATACATATGGAGAAAGAATGGGGTTTAGCATAAGAATAAATTATTGTAGGAAGAACAAGTTCACTAGCCAACTTATTTGTCGACTTTTGGTTTGCAACAAGGAGGGATTTTGGAAGGTTGACAAGCGAGACCCATTAGCAAAAAACCCTAGAGCTAAAACTAGGATTGGTTGTGAGGCTCAACTTTATGTGAAATTAGATGAGGGTATTAGGAAATTTGTTGTGACTGATTTCAACGAAAAACACAACCACAATATTGTATCACCTGAGTGTGCCCATATGTTGCCGTCACAAAGAAAGAAATCGGCTACCCAAGCAATTGAGTTAGATTTGGCGGCATCTGGTCTTCATTTAGGCCAATCTTTTGAACTCATGGGTAGGGAAGCTAGTGGGTGACAATGTCTTGGGTTTACGAAATTAGATCAAAAAAATTATTTGAGAACAAAAAGACAACAAAGTTTAACATATGGGAAAGTAGGCAATGTGTTACAATACTTTAAAGAAAAATCTTTGCAGAATCCTTCTTTTTTTTTATTCTTTTCAGTTGGATAATGAGGAGCAAACAACGAATATGTTTTGGGCTGATGCACAAATGATCATGGATTATGTCCAATTTGGTGATGTTGTCACATTTGATACGATTTACAAGTTAAACAAAGAACATAGACCCATTGCAGCTTTTGTGGGATTCAACCAACATAGGGAAACAGTTATATTTGGTGCAGCCTTGTTGTATGATGAGACCGCCAATTTGTTTGCATGGTTGTTTCAAAATTTTCTAGAGGCTATGTCAAGAAAGGCACCCAAAACTTTGTTTACGGATCAAGATGCTGCAATGGCTAAAGCCATGCCCATTGTTATGCCTGACACGAGTCACCGATTATGTACTTGGCATTTGATGCAAAATGCATTAAAACATGTCAATTGTTTGTTCCAAGATAAGGGGGTAAAAGGTGTATTAAATAAATTCCTGTTTTGACATTGAAGATGAAAATCAATGGAAGTTAGAGTGGGCTGAAATGCTTGATAAATATGATGCGCATGATAACAATTGGTGGAAATTGACTTTTGTGGTGAAAGAAAAATGGGGCTGGCCATATGTTACATCAATTGCATAGAAATGCTTGATAAATAAATTCCATTCTCATTGGTTCTTACAATATATATGACAGCGGTTCTTCCATAATTGCACAGTCTCGGTTGTAATCTTATGTTACTATTATTAGAAGAAGAAACTATTTTTAAATCTGCATACATGAGAAGTTACTTCTTCATCTATCTATGTGGATGGTCCTAAATTATAAAATTTTTATAACACCACAATTTTCAGAGGAGAGGGATAGAGAATCATGTCAAGATTAGATTCCATCACAGCAGCAACAAACATAACCAACATCAGACTTAGACAACAGCACAAAAACACCCGATTCCATCACAGCAGTACCAAGCATAACTAACATCAGACTTAGACAGTAGCACAAAACAAAACCAGCATCAGACTCAGACAGTAGCACAAAACATAACCATAACTAACCATCACCCTCAGTCAAGATGCAAGCTCAACAAACAATAGCACAACATAACTAATCATAGCATAACTAAGCAACCAAGAGGCAGACACACCCAAAGTCATCGCAACAACACAAAATAGAACCAAAACATTGCATTGTTGGTCTGCTGACCACCATAACTAACTATCAGTTCTGCAGCATAGCATACCAGCTGAGTATATCATATCAGCAGACCAACAAAGAATACCAATTAATAGACAGAACAATGATAGGCATACCAACAATTAATAGGCAGACCAACAAAGTATCACCCTCAGATCAACAAAATAAAGAGACAAAGTAATAAATAAGACGGAACAGCTAAGAACAGATCAACAATGTATCCCAGGACAGAAACAAGCTCTGCAGACTCAGAAGAGCAGCACAGAAGTAGAAGAAACAAAATAAACAGTGTACGAGTACAAAATAATTCTTCTCGTATGATCCTGTTGATCAAGTTTGCGCTCCTCCAAATGTCGTTGCTTTACTTCCTAAAAACACAAATATGAGCTAGCCAGCGGGTGTGTGCCAGAAACTCCTCCGATGCCTAAGTCAGCAAATAGACAATAGACAATAAGCTCTATGTATTCTAGACTAAGAATTGGGATACCTATACATAGGTCATGCTATGAGCTTTTATAGACTCTGCCTGGCACAATCCTAGTAGAATTCCAACTCTCCTTATAGAAGTCCTCCTAGGAATCACACACCCTACTCACTACTAACCAAGTGAGATGGTTTGTACAATCCTAGTAGGACTCTACTCTCCTTAGTAAAGTCCTCCTAGGAGTCTCATGCCCAAGGATGATGTTTATCCTTAAAACACCCTCATCACTACAAGCCAAGTGAGATGGCCACTCCCTCATGCTCGGTTATACATTCCTGACCGAGCTGCCTTATCTTGGTCCCCTGCCATTCGGACCATGTGATCGAAAGCTGATCTATCGAAACCACCCTGCCGAGCTATACATAGCTCGGCCCTCGTCATTGGTGTTACCTCGGTTTGCTATAGAACTTCCTTTAAGCAGCTAGGTCCAAGCCTTAGTGTCACAGCTGACCAGCCTGGCCCAAGACCGAGTTATCAGCCCCTATTTCGGCCCATAGCCTAGCTCTTAGTGTGGCCTAATATTCAAGAATAATGCTTCCTAGCTCGGCCCAATTTGGTTATACAAATTACCCTCTCAATTGCCCCATAATTCCATCTACGAAGCATGATTGGGATTACTTTTCTCTAGCTGAGCTGAAAATGCTCAACTCTGCCGAACTAGAGAAGTTGTTTGGTCTCACAACTCGTTCAGTCCCAACAAGTCTTGTCAGTTGCTCAGCACGTCATTCCACTAATCTGGTATGCCTGATACGACATTACCTCTAGGACAGGTGGTGTGCCCCCATTAGCCCCGTTTTCATGTTACAGCCGTCATGCCAAAAATTTGAATAGCCCTGCTTTTTTGCCTTCAACGTATATATCCTTCGAGTTTACAATCGTACGGCGAGTTGTTCTTTCTGTATCTCGCTGGGCAGACTAACACGATTTACACTAACCCTGCCAACCTACTTTGGCCGAGATAACCATCTCAATCTAGGAATACAAAAATTTGTTGGTCAAACCTGCCAACCTCCTTGAGCTGTGATCCTTATCTCGGTTAAAGAATGAAAAAAGTGTTAGTCAAACTTGCCAACCTTCTTGAGCCTAGGTCCTTATCTCGGTTGAAGAATGAAAAGTGTTGGTCAAACCTGCCAACCTTCCTGAGCGTAGATCCTTATCTCGGCTAGAGGAAGAAAAAGTATTAGTCAAACCTGCTAACCTTCTTCAGCCTTGATCCTTATCTTGGTTGAAGAACAGGATATGTTTGGCCCAACCTGCCAAATTTTCGTCAGCCTAGATCCTTATCTCGGCTGATGGACTAAATGTTGGTCAAAGCTGCTAACCTTCTTCAGTCTTGATCCTTATCTTGGCTGAAGAACAGGATATGTTTGGCCCAACCTGCCAAACTTCCGTCAGCCTAGATCCTTATCTCGGCTGATGGACTAGATGTTGGTCAAACCTGCTAACCTTCTTCAGTCTTGATCCTTATCTTGGCTAAAGAACATGATATGTTTGGCTCAACCTGCCAAACTTTCGTCAACCTAGATCTTTATCTCGACTGATGGACTAGATGTTGGTCAAACCTGCCAACCTTCTGAAGTCTAGATCCTTATCTTGGCTAAAGAATGAAAAAAATGTTGGTCAAGCTTGCCAACCGTTTTTATTGCCCCCCCAGTCGGGCAAAGACTTGTTAGAAAGAGTTGGTCAAACCTGCCAACGCACTTTGCCCCCAGTTGGGCAAAGATTTTTTACTTAGTTGGTCCTTTTTGTCAACCGTGCTAACTTTTGTCGAAGGTGTTCTGTCCGACATCACTGTTTGTATCGAACTCTTCCTTGGTGCGCATCCCATCTTCCTCTACCAAGATGTGTTGGTGCACTCTCTCCATCAGGGCTTCTATAGTAAGAGGCGGCGTCATTGTCATTGAATCCCTCAACCTATGACCCACTGGCAGACCCCACTTGTACTATGCAATAGCTAGGTTTGCGAGGCAATTTCCAATCTGATTAAAAGTCTTCCAATATCGATTGTTGTAAGATTTTAGTGTTTTTTCTCGCCCATGTCGATGGAGAACAGCTGGTTTATCTCCACCGGTGTCTTGGTGTTTATTTTAAACCTGGTAACAAACGCTTTTGCTAGTTGTACCCATGAAGCTATGCTACTTTCTGGCAACCTTTCAAACCACGTTAAACCCAGGTTGACAAGGCTAGAAGGAAACATGATACACATTAGAGCCTCGTTTCACCAATATATAGCCATAACCTGATGAAAGTGGCTCAAGTGCATGTAAGGGTTTGACTTCCCCTCATAAGTACTGAATTTGGGCTGGTGGAAGCCTGAGGGTAATTGTGCATCCTCTATTTTCGAAATGAATGGCGAGCTTTGTAATCTTGCTAACACTTTGTCTGTTGGTTCGTAGGCAAAGCGTGGTACTGGTATTCCAACCTCGACACTCCTATGTGTCCTAGGAGCCAACTGTTGTAGTGTAGAAACTCTGTGAGGGTCGCGAGCCTGAGTGTCTTCTCTCCTTTAAGCCCTTTTCTCTAGCATCGTTCGCAAGTCTACCGACCTAGGCAACTCTGTGTGCCTAGATGTCGTTTAGTGCGAATGCGAGGGCCGATAACTACTTTCCTCCGTATAAGACCTTTCAGTCCTCGTTCTCTCAGACCTAGAGTCACGAGTCTTGGAAATCCTTGATTATGTATTGCCTGTCCGGAGGCTTCTACTTTCAGTTTGTGACGGTGTGACTTGCCTGTCACCATCTTCTGAGTGGTAAGAGCGCGTGCTACCTTTGTGCCCCTCTTTTGTTGCCACCCCTTCACCTTTTATCTAGCATTTCATAGTCTCCATGTCAGTCGACATTCTTCTTATTACTTCGTCTTGCTCCCTTACGCGATCTTCTAGAACCTGAGGATCCATCATTCACCTCTGTCTATTAGGGCTTTGAGAGCGGTGTAGACTTGAGCCCTGTCTTTCTCATGCCTCTCTTCGTGGATTCCGTCGCTGGGGATCTAATTCCGCCATGGATGGTTCATAAGGCAAGCCTTCGTGCCTTGCGCTCCCTTCCGAGGTCTGCCCATCAATAGCAGAATGTGGTAAGTCTTCATCGTGCACCATTGATTTCTATTAGAGAGAAGAACTTGAGTCATAAGGTTTTGTTCTGCAGTTTTTCCACAGACGGCGCCAATTGTACGAGCACGAAATAATTCTTCTCGTATGATCCTATTGATCAAGTTTGCGCTCTTCCAAATGTCGTTGCTTT